CTGTCACTAATGAGCTGTGGGATACCAAGGAACAATGCTTGTCCTCTGTGGAGACTTAGTTTTTATTTCCCCTACATCTGTGAAGTTGAATAATAGCAGCACTAAATGAGCAAAGCACAAAGTTATAGGCTCAATAAGTAGCACCTCTCAATATCATAGTTGTTCAAAACTTATGACAAGTGTGATTCATCCTGCGGCTGTGGCCTGCCTCTGTCCCCCACCCCCACCTCCGATGTGATGCTGAGGTGAAGTGAGAAATAGAGTGTCACTTTGTGGCTTGGTCAGATTGCCAAGTTGTGAAAAGGACAGTGAGGCTGTGAACAACACAATCCATTTTTTTTTTAAAGTGAGGCTTATCCTACTAAACTTAGCCTGTTGCCTTCAGAAGGTGAAAGCCAAACTGAGCAGGAAAATAAAGCCTTCATTATCCTTTAAATTTGGGGTCATTGCCCGTGTTTGCCACCTGCTTTTAAATGACAAAGCATGTCATAGGAACGTAGAGATCCAAGCCCACTCTGTGGAGAAATAGTGGCCTCTATTTTGACTCAGGAGAATGTTACAGAAATTTATTGATTTTGAAAATGCATGAATACGGGATGCCACATTCTTGTAGCTCTTATTATTATGATAACAAGTGGTGTTTGAGGGCAGTGTTGTTTTCTTCCATGTTTTTTGTTATCATATGGCAAATTTTTGTAATTTTAGTTCTCCTTATTTCACCTGCTCAGTAGTTCTAGCTTGATTTGAATCCCAACTTTGCAGTTTACTAAGTGAGTAACTTTGAATCAGACTAAATCTCAGGAGGCCACAGTTTCTTTGTTTGTAAAATGGCATAAATAATATCTCATTAGGTGTTAGGAGGATTTAAAGATAATAAAATGTAGAGTGTGTTAGCCTGATGCCTGACATTTAATCCTCAGCGATGTTAGTATTGCTCTTATTCCATACTTTTATATGAAAAGATACCTTTGATTTTCCTATTTATGAGTACTAATATTATTAGAATCAGACCTGTGAGAGAATTACAGACAGATCCATGGTTATAAATGAATTATGCTTAAATATGTTTGTCCGTGCACATTCAAATGTATGAAGAAAGGCTCGGTTTCTAGGCCAGTCCACAAAAGTCATTTTGTGAATGAAAAAAATGGTGTACCTGAAACACAGTCCTCTTAATACTGGATCCAGAAGTCATTTGCCCCTGTTCCCGGAGAGAAAGCTGTTTGAAGCTTAGCTCCATCCTCTCTGTTACAAGGAGGAGTATAACTGCTGAAGGGGTAGCTCCCGAATCACTTGAGAAGCAGGAGTGAGATGAGGGTTTCAGCAGAGGCATTGAGATGTCAAGAGGATGCAGCTTCTTAACGCAGCCCGTTCATTGGAGAGCCCCTGCCCAGGCAGGCCGGGCTGGCGAGAGTCCCCATCACTGTCTGTCTCACTCCAGATATTTAATTTGGAAAACAAGGACCAGTTACCTCATATTCTCACATTATTTTGGTTTAGTTCACTGTGTCTTAGTTTGAGGACTGACTGCACATGAGATATGATTATTTGCAATCATTTTCCTCCCTTGCCCACTTGCTTTTAGTTTACAAGTGTGTGTAATTTTAATCTTGGAGTCAGAAGCGAGCGAAAAGGTGCTTTCCTGGCTTCATATCTCCTTTATCTTTTCGGTCATTCTTGTATTGAAGGAAGCAGTTGGTGGGGTGGGGAGGCAAGGGAGCTTATTGAACCACCTTTGTTAAGCATATAGCTTCTTCTTATTTGGCCACTAAAAATATTTATGATTATGCTACAGAGTGCTTACATATATAATTAATGGTAATAGGTTTTAATCACTGATAAAAATCACTGCGGTTATTTATTCTAACACATAATTTTATCTGCTACTGCCAGAAACTTCTCTGAATGTTTAATATATATGTTAGAATTGTTTAAATGTTTTCTGTAGGAGACAGATTGGGGACCTCTCAAACTCCAAGAATGTTTCCGACTGACTAGCAAGGTGAACTCAGGCGGGGGTCTGGGAACCGCTCAGATAGCCTTTTTTAAAAGCAGGATTTGGTATACTGTGTTGTAGACACTGAGAAATATCATGAGACATCCATTTTAAAATGTTTAAATCTGGTTTGCCAGGAGCTATAGTACATACTCTTGGGAGCCATAGTTACTAATTATTATTATTAAAACTGCTTGATTGAACATGCTTGGAAGTCTTATTTGCCCTAAGACAATATGAATGTGACCTAGATTCTTTCTGGATGAGAGAATTTTCTATGTTGCATATGTCATGCATTGGAAATAGATAGCCAAATATATCTATCTTTGATATTTTGATACGTTCTTTACTTTCCCCCAGTTATCTCTCCCCTGTGCCACAACCTCTTTGCCCTGTATGATGAGAGGACCAAGCTCTGGTATGCTCCAAATCGCAGCATTACTGTCGACGACAAGACATCGCTCCGGCTCCACTACCGGATGAGGTATGGGTGCCTGCCTGGGTTCCTCAGGGGAAGGGATGGTGGTTAGCCTGGGGCCCTGAGTCACTTACCAAGAAATACTGTAGTCATTTTTGTAATCTGTAACCTGTATGTTTGCTTGGTATGAGAAAGGACTTTTTCAGTATTTGGAATACAATTCAAGATGAATTTGACAACCTTCCTCTGCCACATTCTAGAAAAGAAATCATTATGATGCTGAGGGTATTTTGAATAAAATTAGTGTCCTGTAGCAGAGTTTTTCAATGGTGAGTCATGGTTATGAATTTAATTTAGTAAGTTGTGACCAGAATTTGTTTTAAAAAAGAAGCAAGCAAGAATAGATAATATCAGCATATATACATATCCTAAGAATATTGTTTTTGAAAACTTTTGTTTGAGATATATAGTACATATGTGTGTACTAGGTGATCATCTGATAAGATATATTTCTTACTAAAAGTTGCAGCTAAGGAGATTGAGAAGCACTGCTTGCAGCAGGATCCTGCAAATGCTAGGTGGGCCTTGCTCTCACGTGGTTGTTCGGAGCCACCTCCCTGGGGCTTTGTGTAGTGGGCTGTTGTAATTCTTCTTCAGATGGGTATTTGCCTTTTCTCCTGTATCATAGACCTTGTTAAATGCACATAGCCTCCCAAGTGGCATATATAGTCAATACTTCATTGCTGTAGACTCCTGAGTTTATAAGCATATTGGGAGTATGGTGGTTAGGTAGTAGTTAAGCACAAGTGAACGTGTATTTAGCAAAGGATCTTATAAATAGAGTGGCTACTTTTTGAAAAGGATCTTAACTAACATAGTAATTAAATCAGCAGGTTAGCTCAGGTGCTGATGGGATGCAGGCGCATGCTGGCAACACCCTTGGGATCTCAGATGCTCTCCACAGTATCTTAGCTGCTATTTCTTTCGGGAAGTCAGTAGCGTTTTTTTCCATTCCAGAATGGCCTGGATGTTTTTCTCAGCAAAGCTGAACCAGATTTACTTTCTTTGATAATCATTCTAGGGCTGACTTTTTCTCTTCTTTCTGTATTCACCCAAGCTTTCACCTGATGAGGAGAGAGATATATGTATGCACGATTTCATGCCCCAGATTTAGGGAAACATTCACCCCAACCAGCTGAGCCTTCAGACTATATTTGGATTTGTTTTTCAAAGTGTAATCTTGCTTTCTGTGGCCTAGGGGCTTGCTGTGTGATCCAGCATTTAACGTGTGCTTGCAGCTCCCAGTCTAGGAAGGGGGTGTGTCACTGAGTTCCAGTTCTTTTCCTCTAGGTTTCTCGCCTTGGTTTGAAATCTAGAACGGTAAAATTGGAACTTGGAAGAGACCTGAGTCTCTTCCAACTTTTTAGGGGGAACCTGGTATCCAAAAAAAAAGTGAGTTTCCCAAAGTCACACAAGAAGTGAGTCACCTTGTTGTCACAGAAGACTCTTGGAGGCACTCATTTTTGTCGGTTGTGTGCGTGCCTCCCTATAGAACAGCGGTTCTCAACCTGTGGGTCGCGACCCCTTTGGGGGTCGAATGACCCTTTCACAGGGGTTGCCTAAGACCATTGGAAAACACATATATAATTACATATTGTTTTTGTGATTAATCACTATGCTTTAATTATGTTCAATTTGTAACAATGAAATTTGGGGTCACCACAACTTGAGGAACTGTATTAAAGGGTCACGGCATTAGGAAGGTTGAGAACCACTGCTATAGAAGCTGCCTCTCTGCTCCCCAGTCTCTCGGCTGCCAGGAAGTCCATGGCCACTTCATTTTTGGCACCTTGACTTTGTACCTGACATTGCACTTCAACAGGATATTGCTTTGTTACCACAGCTCTTTGAACTTGGGGGAAAAAAAAGATCCCACCCTAAGCTAAAACATTTGCATTACAACAAACTATAAACATTTTGAAACCTTATAATCTCACCACTAAAGAAGGTGTAATATGAAAATAAATGTTAGCAACTATTTCAGAGGAATCTCAGTTCTATTTTGGGAAATAATCTTCAGTTATAGTTTTCTATTTTATCTTCAGTTTTCTATTTTTAGATAATGATTTTGATAGTTATTGTTTTATACAGTAATCCTATATAATAAAGAGCTAATATGTAAATGGTCATCACGCCCTTGCGCCCGGGCTAGGGGACCTGATGCCGTGCCCCCCGCCCAGCAGGGCTTGACAGGGGACCCTAGGCTGCACCCCCCCCCTCCCCCGCCCCGCCTGGTGAGGCTTGAAGGGGGACCTGAAGCTGTACCTCCCACCTGGCACCAGGCTGGGGGACCTGAGGCTGCACCCCACCCTCTGCAGGGCTTGACGGGGTGGGGCTGGCTGGGTCTGGGTCCCGCGCGATTTTGAGGCACACGCAGGTGGGTGGGGACTTGACTCTGGGTCCCGTGGCGCGCCCTAGACTCTGACAGGAGGAAGATTTTCATAAACATTTTACTAATTTTCTTTCATCTTTGACACTTCTATTATAGAGGAAGAGTAAATAACAATATTAAAATATTTCCTCTAATTAATTACCTTTTAATGTGCACAATTTTTGTGCATCAGGCCACTAGTATATCTTCATATAAGACAAACATATTCTTTATTCCTGTTTAAGAAAAAATGTTTCCTTTTCCCATCTAAATGAATTTTAGTATCCATTAGTAAACTTCTGTAGAAACCTGGAGAGAATTTGTTGTGTAAAACATCTGTACATAAGCTTAGAATATGCAGTCATCTGTAATACAATTTTCTCAACAACTTGCAAGGAAGGCATATCTCTGATTAGTGTTTGGCCCAAGTTTGATGAACATTTTCATAATTAATTTTAAAAGGGATGTAGAATTTCTGCCCTCAATGTAATTCTAGTTTTGTCTTATTAGAACAAAATTGGGAAGATGTTGATTTTGGCAGTTACCTCTTTATCTTTTGATTTGTTTTGTATTTTTAGTTTTGTCACTTTATTAGCTAGAAAGCTGACAGCCTGTGACTGGAGGCTGTATCTAGAGATTGAGCCTTGCTTTAGGTTCCCTTCAGCCTTCAGTGAAGTGGAGAAGCTGCACATTATCTTTGATCTCTTTGTCCTGTACTGTCTGAACATCTTGCCAAAGGGCTCCCAAGCCAAAGCTGGTCTGTGAGGCTCAGATAGCAATCTTGAAGAATGTCCTTGTTCAGGCAGATTGGAGATTGCAGTCTTTACAGAGGGAGTTTGTTGGGCCCTTGGCTTTACTAGGTCCAAGGACTCAGTCCCAGAGAGACTCAGTGGGATGTAGAAGACGACGACCATGGCTTGGACTGGTTGAGGGAAAATCTGTCTTCAGTGCTTCTCTTTGGAACAATTTCCTCTATCCTTGAGAACCTTTTCCTCTTGTCCTAGGTAACCTTCCACATTGTACGTAATTCTCATTTTCTCATCACCATCCTCCTGCACTGGCAAACAGAATTTACCTCTCCTTCCTGCTCCTCCGTCAGAGCCCGGCTTTGAACCTTCGTATAATGGAGTGCCGGGCACATAGTGAGCATGCAAAGGCTGTGAACCACTATCTTCATTCATCCTGTTTAGACCCTTTTACCTATCAGTTTCCGGGCAGACCCCCAGAACTTCTGGTAGATCTCTAGTTATTGTCCGAATGACCACACAGGTTGCAGGTTCGATCCCTGGTTGGTGTGTATGGGAAGCAACTGATTAATGTTTCACTTTCACTCAATATTTCTCTCACTTTCCCTTCCCCTCCCTCTAAAATAAATAAAAGCTTGTCCTCGGGTGAGGATTACAATGAATAAAAAATAAAACTAATATTTTTATGTAGAGGAAAGGAAAGCTGTATGGGGGGGTGTCCATGAAAGTCATAGTGTAGTCCTCTTTATGAGATGTGCCCCCTTGTATGTTACTTTATTGTCATTGTTGGATTGACTGTTTGCCACATGAGCATGGAGACGGGGAACCTCACTGAGGGCGGAGGCTGTGCTTCTCCTGAGAACCCTTTGCCTCACAGGGCCTGGCACGTGCTGGGCTCTACAGATACAGCACTGACAGGTGTCGGAGTTTAATGGCGGCTCCTTTTGGGGAGGCAATTTTATTTATTGTTTCTCCATGCTGTGTTGTTTTTCATTAGCACACGGGCATGTCAGGGAGAGAGATCCAGGCACTAGCGGAGTCTGCGGCCTAGAGGTGGCCTGGTCAGTTTGGTTCACTCACTTTCATGCCTTGCAGAACTCCTGTGCTTCTCTGACAGGCGGCTGAGGAACGTGGCAGCTAAGAGAACAGGCTTGTTGTCTTAGGTCACCTAGTCTTTAGAAACTGCAGTTTTCCTCCTCTGAACATAGAAACAGTGAAATCTGCCTGGTATCGTTGCTGTAGGAATTAAATAGCATACTGTCTCTAAAGTGCTTATTAATTTAATTCACAACACTAGAAGCTGGTGCTTGTAATAGTTAATCTTCATTTATTTCTCCTATTTTAAAACTTTGTTTATTGTAAGATAAATCATCAGTTTAATAACAGCAATCTGGGAAATAGGAAACCCTGCCATATTAACTGCACACCTTGGCTGTGTGGTGACATTACATTTCAGAAATGTAAAAATGTGAGTGAAATGTCTTGGATTCAAGGCAGGATGATATTATTAAAGGTAAAGGGAGGCACTGGGCTAGCCTCTACTCAGTCTGCAGTGTTTTCCTGTTTAGGAAGACATGAAAGTTGCAGGAGCTATCTGTGTGATCTTAAGGAAGGCACGTTATCTCCCTGAGTCATAGACGAGGCTCGCTCTTCAGGGAGTGTTGTAGGAATGACGAGAAGGACTTCATACGCAACGAATGCTACAGATGAAAGGTCTGTCTGTCTGCTTACTTCTCTGGAGGGTTAGCCTCTAGTGCTGATAAGTCCAGGTGGAACCAGGACACAACTCCTGTACATTTCAAGGCCCTCATTCCCACAGCTGACACAATCTTACTGCGTTCCAGGTTCTATTTTACCAACTGGCACGGGACTAATGATAATGAGCAGTCGGTATGGCGACATTCTCCAAAGAAGCAGAAAAATGGCTACGAGAAAAAAAAAGTTCCAGATGCAACCCCTCTCCTTGACGCCAGCTCTCTGGAGTATCTGTTTGCCCAGGTAAGAAGTTTGGGGCTGGGAGAACCTGGGTTCATGGGATGGGTGAGGCGTTGTTGGGTTCAGATTCCCTGATGCAGCTGAACTTGGTGATAACTAGGATATTTCTCTTTTTTGTTTTTTTCACAGTTAGCACACGTTACAGCCTCTCTCATGGGCAGTTCTTGCCACCCCTGGACTTTCCCCAAGTGAGGAGGGAAAGGCAGCAATTCAGTGTCCCTGTGGGTTTTTCCCACTCACCTGTCCCCATTCCTTCCCTTTCCCCTTCGCCTCTAACCCTTTTACTTCTCATCTGCAGCCTTCCATGGAGAGAGCAGAGGGAACCTGTAAGCAAGGGAAGGTGTGGTTCAGTGGGGCTAGTGAGGACACTTCTCAGCAGTCACAGTAACCTTTTGGGAGGAAGAGATGACCACTCCATGTCACAGTGGCGGTAGAAAGATGAGACACCAGAAAAAAGCCAGAAGGGAAGTTAGAATCATCTAAATTGCATGACCCTGAGATAGCATCTATATGAAGCATATATGTATATAACATTTTTATTTATATGCTTTCTGGTTGTACCAAGCGGATATGCATTATACACTGCAGTTTTTGAAAACATTTTACTGTTCATATAATTTTATAAATTGATTTTTTATTCATCTTGTTTATGGTCCTTCAACTGTCACCTTAAAAATACAGATTTTTGTTATTTCAGTGACTTCATAGTAACCTGCTTATTCAGCACACATGTGCCGAGTGTCTGTGTACTCTTTGCTGAGGCACTGCAGATACTGTGAACAAGTCGGGTGGTTTCTGCAGCATCAGACATACCATCAAGTTGGGCAAACAAAAAACAAGCAATTAAAATGGTACATAGGTAATACACAAGAAATTGTGAGCAGTGCAATGGAGGAAAAAGAGAATATGGGGAGGGGTGAGCTCTGGAGAGACCTAACTTATAATAGTGTGATCAGAAAAGACCTCCCTAAGGAGTGACATTTATACTGAATTTTGAGAATAAGAAGAGTCTGCATGTCTAGAGGAATAGGGAAAGTAGTTCTTCCATGTGGAGCAAGCTTTTCAACAGCAGCACTGCTGACATTCTGGGCTGGATAATTTTCCTTGTGAGGAACTGCACCACCTCCAGACATTGACCCACACCCCTGGCTTCCATTCATGAGATGCCAGGAACACCATCCTCCCAGTTGTGATATTCCAAACTATCTGCAGACATTGCAAAATATCCCCTCAGGAGCAGAATCTCTCCTGTTGAAAACATCTGATACAGACAGAGAATGTGGGAAGCCCTGAGGTGGATGAGCCCTGAGAGGAGAATCAGTGTGGCTGGAGAAGGACTGGAGGGTGATAGGAATGAGACTGGTAAGGGAGACTGGGCAGACCACACAGAACCTTGTATGCGCTGACAAGGGGTTATCTTTTTCCCACTCTAAGTGCGATGAAGAGCTATTTGGAGGGTTTGATTTTATTTACGTTTGAAGTCGTTGATGATTTTTCTTGCTACAGGGAAAGTGGATTGTGCTGCAGCCGAGAGCACACTTCAGCTGAGAAGGTGCTGTGATTGGTCCGAGGAGACAGAATGCTCCTTTAGCTTTAGTGTAGTGGCAGTGGAGTTGGAGAAAAGTGGTAGATCTGTGATGACTTTCAGAGATAGAATTAATATGTTAATGGGTTGGATGTGAAAGCTGAAGGAATTTGAAGAATCAGAGATGATTTGAGATTTCTGTTTGGGCAGTGCTTGATAGATAATGGGAAGACTTAAGAGGAACAGGTTGGAGAAAGGTTAGGTATTGTGTGTCTTCTTATGGAGATGCCTATGAGGCACACAAGTGGAGATTTCAAGTAGGAAGGTGAGTACAAGGAGGAATTCAGAGAAAAGCCATCATTTATTTAATCTCTTGTTTCTGGACATGTTTTATTTTTCTCAGGTTTTTTTCCCCCCTAGTATTATTATTTTTTAAATTTCTTTATTAATTAAGGTATTACATGTGTCCTTATCTCCCCATTCTCCCCTCTACTCATGCCCTCAACCCCCTGTTGTCTGTGTCCATTGGTTAGGCTTATATGCAAGCATACAAGTCCTTTGGTTGATCTCTCCCCATTACCCCCACCCTCCCCTACCTTCCCTCTAAGGTTTGATGGTCTGATCGATGCTTCTCTGTCTCTGGATCTGTTTTTGTTCATCA